ATTGAGGCCCAGCGTTGTTGCCTCATTTCAGAAAAGTTGCCTCATTAATAATCAGGATTAAGATTTGCCGTTATGCCTTTGTAGTTCCTTCTCTGTCCCCTCCAGTGCTCATATTCTCTATGAAACCTGTTATATGTAGCAGGGTTGCAATTTTGTTACATATTATTTCTTGGGTGGGCAAAGAAATTTACTTTTGTCTATTACTCCTCTAGTTTCTTATTCAGTATTTGGACAGAAAGAATTTAAATGTCCAATTGGTTTTAAAGTTTAGCTCAATCTAAACTGGTGTTTAATTTCTTAGGTTCAAATGCTTAGGTTCTTAGATAACGTCTCTGATCCTCCTTGAGATGGTGCTCTGGGTATATATATGGGTGCTGGAGAAGTGGCAGCCGTATGCCGTCTCTGGGGCCGCTCTCTTAGTCAGTTGGTGTTTCTTGCCTTGATGGTGCTCTTGGTTAGATACAACCTGTGGTTCATTGGTGGCTCTCAGGCTGCACCAAGCTACTGCTGTGACTCCCTTCAGCCCTGGTTGGAGTATTTTCTACACAGCCTTCCCTCAAACATTTTGGTCTCGGGACTCCACTATACTCTTAAATATTAGTGATCTCTAAGAGCTTTCCTTTTGTGGGTTCTATCTATCATCAATATTAGAGATATAGTACAAATTAGAAATTGAACTGAGAATCTTAAAAATTATTCTTTTAAAAACAATAAATAAACTCATATGATAACATAAATTGTGCATTTCTCACAAAAAAAATGACTTCTAAAAAATTTAACAAGAAAGTGGCATTGTTTTACACAAGTGCAGATGTCTTAAATTCCTGGTCTCATAGAGCACAGGGTTTTCTTTTTGCTTCTCTAGTCATTTGTTGCAATATGTTGCTTTAGTTGAAATATATAAGGAAAATTCCTTCTCATATGATATAGTTGGAAAAAGGAACATTTAAATAGTATTTTCAGATAATTGTGCATGTTCTTCATTTGATTGCACAGAAACTTGAAAAGTGGTAGTTTATTAAAGCTAGTTGCAATGTGGAATCTGAAGCTCTAGCAATGAGATTTTCATACTGTGTTTCATTAAAACCTATTTCTCTGTCTTATCTTTGTGTTTTAAGCCATGAGGTCTGGCTAGGTTGCCTGGGCTCATAAGATCCTCCTGCATCAGCCTCCCTAGTAGTTGGGACTATAGGTGTGTACCACCATTCCTGGCTTGTCTTATACTGGATTTTTACCTGTTCCTGATTTTGTGACATCATGGAAAATGGTGAAGAGTAAATCAGATTTGATAAAATAATGGTTCACTTAGTTATATCAGTTTTCCAAATGTTAGCATATGTCATGCTATAATATTTTTTAAAAAACACTTTCATTAGTATCACCACTAATCACAGAACAATATTGGGGAACTGTTATGGTCACACTAGCCAATACAAGTTTTTTTGTATTAGTTGATGTTTTCCAGAACCAATACAATGTGTGTGTGTGTGTGTGTGTGTGTGTGTGTATGAATAAATAAAAAAGATTTATTAATCCCCAAATCAGAAATTTGAAATGCTTCAAAATCCAGTAAAGCCTATGCAAATATTTCAAAATACAAAAAAAAAAAAAAAAAGAAGAAGAAAAAAAAAAAAAAAAAAAAAAAAAAAAAAAAAGGGACATTCTTCTGGTCCTAAGGGGTTGACCATAGACTGCAGTGGGTTGAGGGTTGTCCCTGGTCCAGTGGTCTTGAATCCCTGGGGATCCCAAGGCATTTTCAGGAAGTCCACCAGTACAACTTTTTTTCATAAGAAGTGTTCACCAGTGAGACATTTCCAGCCTTTGCACATCACTCACGTGTGTATGTGGCTCTCCAAGGGTGATGGATGTCCAGTAGCATTACAGCACCGCCCGTCTCAGTCTCAGTGCAGAGCAGACTTGGTGATCCGCATCTTCTACTAAGCCCAATGTTAAGGAGATTTGCAAAACTGTAAAATGATGCGGCTCTGCTCACTGCTCTATTTGCTTTGGAAAATATAGTTGCTTTTTATAAACTATATATTTTTATGTTTACATAAAATTGTTTTAGGATGAATTAATAAGTACTTAAGGATTTTTCAGTTTTTACTTCTAACATGGTAAATATCGATAAATATAACCCACATAAACAAAAATTCCTTGGGGGTTCTCAATTTTTAAGACTGTTTAAAGCCCTGAGATCAAACAATTTGAGAACCACTTGTCCTGATCTTGTTGGTTCTGGGCTGATACGGAGATTGAGCTCTATTGAAGGGTATACCAAAAGGAGCTTTGAGTCTTTTTGTCTGAAGAAAAGTATTGGGAATTGCAAACCTTACTTTTAATAATTACCAAATACAGCCAGGTGTGGTGGAGCATGCCTGTAATCTCAGCGACTTGGGAGATTGAGACAGGAGGATCACAAGTTTGAGGCCAGCCTCAGCAATTTAGTGAGACCTCATCTTGCCCTGGGTTCAGTCTCCAGTACCATCTGGGAGGGAGGAAATTACTGAACATAAATACTTATCAAGAATTGTCCTACGGGGCTGGGGATGTGGCTCAAGTGGTAGCGCGCTCGCCTGGCATGCGTGGGGCCCGGGTTCGATCCTCAGCACCACATACAAACAAAGATGTTGTGTCTGCTAAATGCTAAAAAATAAATACTATAAAAAAAAAAAAAAGAATTGTCCTACGTCTAGAAGTGACAGAAAAGAGATATGAGGCTTCATTCCTGTCCCCAGCAATCTAAGTGGGTTGTCTTTACATACTTGAAACAACTTAAAAATAGTATAAGACCATATTTGATAAGTTGTGTGGTATAGACTCTATATAACAGCCTTTGGAGTGCAGAGGAGAGAGGCCAGGGTGTTTTAAGAGAGCAGCCCAGGGAAGAAGGTGGTTTTATGGTTGGCCTAGATTGGATTTGGTTAGTTGGAATGGAAGAGATCAAAAGCTCTTCTAGGCCCAGTAGCAGGAGTGCCTCTGAGGTTCAAATAGAGTTTCTGGTGTCTTTATGGTCTCATGTCTGGGCCCTGGCTGGGCCAGCAAGGAAAGGCATTCCAGACACTTCCTGCCTGTCTTGTCAAAGGTTTGAAAATAGAGATCTGCTGCAGAAATGTTTTGGACGGTCACAGCTGCTATTAATAGTGTGACCAGATCATTTAATGTCTGGTAGTTACGGACATGTTGGAGAGTGGAGGTGGATGCCATTAAAAATTACCAGTATGTGGTACCGTCCTGGCTATGTTGTGACATTTGTCACTCAAGCTATTATCCTTAAGCACTGCTGTTAGTTTCCTTCCTATTGGTTTCTTAGGATATTCAAGACTAATTTTTTTCACACTGTGGATTGCAAACATTTACTAGATTAAGAAATCAATTTAGTAGGTGATACCCAGCCTTAAAAAAAAAATAAAACCAATATGTCACATGTAGTAAAGAGAAATATTATTTTGTTTAAAATATGTATGTAAATATACTAATTCATGCAATGTACCCAGGGCAAAACAGTAATAGCTGATGAACAATAAGTTATTTGGAGCTGGGTGCAGTAGTGTACACATGTAATCCCAGTGACTCAGGAGGCTGAGGAAGGAGGATCACAAGTTTGAAGCCAGTCTGAGCAATTTAGCAAGATCCTGAATCAAAATAAAAATAGAAAGGGCTAGAGATGTACCTCAGTGGTAGAGCACCCATGAACTCAATTCCCAGTACTAAGGAAAAAATAAAGCAAACTCCCCAAAGTGACTCCATTAATAGAAGTTACATATTTGCATGCATGATTAAAACAAATAATATATACTATATATCTAATAGAAATAATATAAGCAATGTAAAAATAACATATTTGTATTTGGACAGGATATTCACCTCATGGTCTAAATTAGTTGTGCAGGCTTCAGCCATCATGCCTATAATCCAGTGAGAAGGGATCATGCTCTCCTAGAAGTTACATCCTGCATATCTGCTTCCATATTATTGTCTACCACTTGCACCTATGACCACACCATGTTGTAAGAGAGACTGGGAGATAGTTCTATTCCACAACAAAGGCTGGTTTTAAAAAAGCCTGGTTATAAGAAAAGTAGGTGAAATTCTAATAGGTATGGAAAATGAAAAATCCCCAAAATAATGTGGTCTGAGAAAAAGGGAGTAAAATAGAAAGCCATGCACTGACAGCTTTCATCTCCCAAGACAGATGCTTTCCTGTGCTAATTGTAGGCAGGAAGGAGGTGTCTCATAGTAAAGTGATGGCCTCTGAGGGCACTGACCTTCCTTGGAGTAAATCCTCCCAGATTCGGAGCACAGACTCTGACCCAAGAGCTCAAATTCCTAAGCACTCAAACTGACCCCTTCACTGATAGATGAACAAACCCCAGACCCTGGGTGCCCACCAGACCACCCCTCAGGATAACCTGAGCTGATTGTGAGGTTTGCGTTCGTTACGGTCTCACGAATTCTATCCCTGAACAAGGGGAGATTACACCCCGGGAGGACAACCAGGAGTCTGAGTCTGAGTCCCATTCCAGGGGCTGCCCTTCACGGGGGTGTGGGGGCGGGGAGGGCTGGAAATGAGCAGGAACCAGGGCGCTCTGGAGGGTCAGAACACAGGAGCCAATCAAATATGGTCTTATCCTATTGATAAGTTTGTTCTAATGATCAGTTACATATCTCACTTCTCCCCAAGAGAGGCCCTTGTTTAGGCCAGTAGGCCTCTTCAGCCTTCTCTGTCAATCTTTTCCCAAGGAACTCAGCTCACTTTGATCTTTGACCTCTGCTATATCATACATTAGCATTTTAGTATACACTTAATGAATTTACTCATTATAGATGCACAATAAGCTTTATTGGTTGGATAGCCAAAATATCCAATTTTATAATTGTTTTCAAGTGATTAAGTATTTTCACCCCATTTTCTAATTGATTAAATAAGTGAATAAATAAATACTGATGGGTTTGGAATCTCTATTCCTTATCATTACCATTTTTTTGTTTAGGTATTTTTGGAGTTAATGGAGCCAGAAGGACACTTAGAGCCAGAGAGTTCAGAAAAATCTGTCTTCTCACAGCCAGAAGATGAAGAATCCCAACAATCAAAGGCAGCGAGCCTTGAGAACCCTCTCCTGCGGCCTCTTCTCACAGGGGACATAGAAGGCTTGCGTAGGATTTTCGAGGACCCTGAAGATCCTCATCATGACCATGCCATGGAGCTACTCTTGGAAGAAGACATCGTTGGGAGAAATCTGTTGTATGCAGCTTGCATGGCTGGGCAAAATGACGTCATTAGAGCCTTGGCAAAGTATGGTGTGAATCTGAACGAGAAAACCACTGGAGGTATTTTGTCTTTTCTCTCTCGTCAGTATTCCTTATGACTACCTAAAGATGCCAGGTACTGTCTTTAAGGTTAGATAATTTCGATGGGCCTGATGTATACTTTACATATATGCATGCAGGTATGTGAACATGTGTATGGTGTATACCTGTAAATATATCGGTGTTGATATCATGTTGCATAGTATTTTAAGAACACAGACTTCACTATTTATTATCTCTGTGGCTTAGCAAATTACCTAAGCTTTTTCATTTCTATTTCTTCATCTCAGAAATGAGGATAATAGTTGTATTTTTCTTATAGGGTGTTCTGAGAATTTAACTTAGCTAATAAATACAAAAATATCACTGTGCGTGGCCCATAGTGAAATGATATATTGTAAATGCCCAATAGTATTACTGTTTTCTCTTTGAAAATTTATTAACTTTTAGCAGTCATTATTGGATTATCTCTTTTAATTCAGTAATTTTTTTTCTGATAACAAATATGATACATGGTCTTGGTGGAAAATGAAAGAAAACAATCATCTCCAGTGAATAAGGATTATATATTCTCTCCCCACTCACGTGGAACATTGAAAAAACTGATCATATGTTGAGTCATAAGGGACATCTCAGCAGTATCACAAAATCTATAGCATGCAGTCTGTGGTCTCTGGCCATTGCAAAATAAACTTAGAAAATGTAACAAAAGATAACCATAATTTTGGAAACAAACACTTTAAATAACCTGTTGGTCACGGAAGATATCATGGAAATTAAGAAATCTTTAAGTGACGATAGGATCACTATGTATTAAAATTCTAGTTGAATGCATATATTAAACTGTAGGAAACAGTTAAGATCAATAAGAAAAGCATCTAACTCAAGAAGTTAGAAGGAAAAAAAAAAATCAACCCTGAGGGCCGGGGAGGGGCTCAGTGGTGGATCACTGGCCTGGCATGCAGAGGCCCTGGGCCCAGTCCCCAGCACAAAGACCAAGTGAGTAACCAAAGGAAATGAAAGGAACAAAGCAGTAGGGGGAATAATGACACTGGAAATAAGGAGCCAAAATCTGGCTCAGTGATAATATCGATCAAGCAAGATAGAGAGAACACAATTTGTATTTGGAATTGAAAACATGGAATATGAACAGATAAAAGCCTAAGATTAAAAAAATAATTAGAAACTATTATAACCAACTTTGTGACAATGCACTTGAAAACTTGGATGAAATGGATATATTTCCAAAAACATTAATTATCAAAATTGATTCAAGGAAAAAATAGAATTCTTGACTAGATCAATGGTTATTAAAGAAATTGAATAAGCAATCCAAATCTGTCTCTTTTGCCCTTATGTCACCACCAAATTCCAAATGTAAAGGTAAGATCTACTAATTTTCTTTTTTTGTACCAGGGATTGAACCCAGGGGTCTTAATCACTGAGCCGGATCCCCAGCCCTTTTTTTACATTTTATTTTGAGACAGGGTCTTGCTAAGTTGCTTAGGGCCTCGATAATTACTGAGGCTGGCTTTGAACTTGCATACTCCTGGCTCAGCCTCCTGAGCTGTGGGATGACAGGTGTATGTTACCATGCGTGGCTTATTGTAAACCTTTGTGGTTTTGTGTAGTGATAAAAGGTTTGAGTCCTCTCTCTTGTCATTTGGATGTTTTCCCTGTCAATGAGCTTTGTATTTTCACTTGTTTTCATGATGGGATGGAACACTCCTTAAGAATTTCTTATAAGGCCAGTTTAGTGGTGATGAATTCGTTCAATTTCTGCTTCTCTGATAAAGATGTTCTTTTTCGTTTCTGAAGGATAGCTTTGCTGGGTATAGAATTCTTGGCTGGCAGTTTTTCTTCTTTCAGGGCTCTGAATATATCGTTCCATTCTCTCCTGTGCTGCCAGGTTCCTACTAAAAAGTCTGCTGTTAGTCTAACGGGAATTCCCTTGTAAGTGACTGTGTTCTCTTTCTGACTTTAGCTTTTAACAGCTTAATTATCATGTGCCCTGAAGAGGGCCTTTTGGGTTGAGTTTAATGGGGGTTTCTTTGCTTCATGGATCTGTCTTGGGAAGTGTTAAACTACTCTTTCTTTCTTTTTCAGCTACCATTTCTTTCCATGCACTTTTTATGCCTTTCTTTGTCTCTCCTGCCTCAGGCCACCATCTTATGGATTGGTTCCTTTATTGGTATCTCATAGATTCTGTGAGCTTTCCTCACTCTTTTTCGTTCTTTATTCCTTCTTCTAAATTTTTCATCAAAATACTTGACTTCAAGTTCAAGAAATTATTTCTGCTTCATCTGATCTGTTTTAATTTTTTTTTTGCTTTCAGTTGTATATATATATTTTTTTCATTTCATTCATTGACTATCCCAGATGCAAAATATCTGCTTGGTTCTTTTTTTATATTTATTTTTTTGTTGAACTTTTAATTCAGATCATGAGTTTCTTTCTGATTTTATTGAATTTTTTGTCTGTATGATCTTATATTTTCTGAACTTCCTTAAGATTATTATTTTGAATTCCCTCTTGGGCACTTTATAAATTTCCTTTTCTTTGGAGTCTGTTGCTGGAGAATTAGTATGTCCTTGGCGGTGGTACTTTCCTTGCTTTTCTATGTTTCTTCTGTCTCTCACAATGGTATCTACACGTCTAGTGCAATAGTTCCTTTTTCCAGTTTAATGGATGATTTTGTCTTTTCCCCCATAGGGAGAGGCCTTTTCTTGTGAACAGAGGGTAGGGTGTATCAGCTTTGATTGTGGATGGACCCATGGCATGGATTCGTTCAGCTGCAGTCCTGGTAGTGATGTCTGCAGTAGCATCAGTGGCCTGTGCTGTGAGTGTTTGTAACCAGGGTGGTATGACACTGTATTTTGTGGGGGAGATTTGGTATGGGGCTGGCTGCTGGGCCGTTTGTGGGTGTTTGCAAATGCCGTGGGCTGTTGGCTTTATGGTGGGTGTGCTGCTGTCCACCTTGCTGCCAGGCTGGGTTTGGAGATGCAGGGCCACTGCAGTTTAGCTAACCTGTTTGGCTAAATGGTGGACTGGATTCTTGTATGCACAGGTGCTGCACCTTGGCTGGCTGTGTTGACAGGCTCCTTGGTGTGACAGGGCTGACTTTTGGCTGGCTGTTACATTGAGTGTGGGTGCATATGGGCCACCAGCCATGTTAGTTTCACCTTTGTGCAAATCTGCCAATTCTCTGGGGTTTGGGGTATAATGTGGGTTTGAAAATCTGGGTCTTGGTCTTTCTCCCAGGCCTGTGCTTTGGCTGGGTCATGGTGCTGTGGCTGTGTACTCGGGAGAATGACAGCCAAGTCTTGGGAATGGAGATACACTGTGGACACTAACCTCTAAGACAGGGTATCCTCTAGAAGTAGGTTGAGTTTCAGGATGGTGCCAACCATAGCAGCTTAGCTCATGCAGGGTGTCGGAGGCATTTACAGTGTGGGCTCCCTTTGTGGCAATACATCCATGTGAACTCTGGGAAGTTCTCCAAACTGTATTTGGGGCCTGTGGGGGCTGAGGAGTCTCCTGTGTGATCATCTGCTGCAGCAACAGGGACTGTTGGGGGTCTCTAGCTTGAAGTCCATCTTGGCCAAGTCAATCCAGAATTCAGACAGGAGAGGAGAGACGGGGTGTCTTGCTCTCCTCTCTATGGTGTTCCCTTGGGTTCTGCATCCCACAGGGATCCTGCCACTTCCTAGCTATTCTCTAGTGAACTTCCTCGGTCCCTCTGGCCAGAATATACATGTTTATCTTTGTTGTGGTCTTTTTTGTGGCAGTGGATGAGTGATAGGCTATTCTGCTCAGCCATCCTGCTAATATCACTCTCCATTTTTTTTCTATTTATGAACATAACGTTCATTATTTGTTTAATTTTTATGTCACTTTGAAGTGCTACTCAGCATAAGAAAAATATTTCAAGGGAAAGAAATTAAAATTGAGAACATTTGTACTATTATAGTTTCTGTGAATTAAGGAAAGACTGTGGTTATTCAGGGATAGCAGTGGAATACACTCAACCAGAATCTAGAATGCTAGAGCTCTGTTGGGGCATAAGAAACCATCCTCCAGAATTAAAAGACTTTGGGGTGAAGACTGCAGTGTATGGGTCTCTGTAAAGTGAGAAGATATGTGCCGTTTATTTGTGGATGGTACTCAGAAATGAAAGAAGGAAAATCATTTTCAAGATTAGCGATGAATCATGTTTGCATTCAGGATATCCTTTCCTTTAGATATTAATTTTGGAGAGTTGGATGTTTTGATCCAGAGAGAGGAATATGAAACTGTTTTTGGTCTCAGCTCTGTGTATTGCCGGCTTTCAGCCTATTTGGAAGTGGCTTGTTTTGTGACTGAGCCGAGGACGGGCCCTCACATCACTCAGTTCATTGACATGGAGCTCTGTCTGGTCCTGGCGAGGCTTTGGTCACCAAATCCAACCCCATTGCCATTTGGTGAGTTTGTGGTTGGGCAAGAAACAGAAATGTAAACAAATGACGACACATGGTAGGATAAGGGCCAGCGGCATCTCAGGGCCGAGATTAGCCAGCTTTACCTGGGAGCGTTGGGAACGTTCAGGGAAGGTTTCATAGAGGGGAAATGTTTATGTTGAATCTTGAAGAAGGTCTAAGAGTTTACCTAGCATTGAAGGAGAGGGGAGGGATGGGGCAGGGCAAGCAGCAGCGATCGCATGATCAGGTACTAGCATTCCAGTATTTCTGCTATTCTGGAATGCTCACCTACCATTTTTTAAAATATTTACTTTTTTTAGTTGTAGTTGGAAAGAATATCTTTATTTTATTTTTTATATATTTTCATGTGGTGCTGAGAATTGAACCCAGGGCCTCACACATGCTAGGGGAGCACTCTGCAGCTGAGCCATAACCCCAGCCCCTCACCTACCATTTTAAGAAACCAAAATAGTGGTCTCTAAGGAAACAGATATGATCGTATTATTGATTGATTTATTTCAATTGTCAGATAAAATATATATATTTATCATGTACAACATGAGT